ACCTCAATAGAGAGGCAATTTTAATGTATGGAGTCACTGCTTGGACATTAACTAAAACTTTAGAAGCTAAGCTTGATAAAACTTACACGTGAATGTTTAGAACTCTAGTTTTGGGGACAATATCTAACTAAATCACCGCTTTATGGACTCATCGCTGATATTTCTACAATCTTACGTGAATACAGAATGTGCTTTGCAGGACACTGCTAGTCAGTAAAACAAAAACTTCCGAGTGATCTACTTCTCTAGACACATAGCCATGGCACAAGACGGACTGGTTGCCCAGCAATCAGCTACATTGGCCAATTATATTATGGCACAGAATAACATTCTTCGACATCGAGGCAGGGCCGTGTGTGTTGGAGCGAGAGAATCAGGAATATCTGAGCGAGCTCGATAGATATAAGTCTTACTATAGTTGGGAAGGGGGATGGAGAAGAGGGTGTTTCATGGATTTCACATGGGTATTTGCATGTAAGTTATTATAACCAACCCGACCGGAATTAGAAATCGGATGGCCGATTTGAAATTCCGAACAATTATCGATTACACCACCTGCACATCCAAGCTTCGCTAGTCTCGTATACGGTTCTGATGTTCCAGGTTCCTATCCTGGTTGTTGACTTAGTCGTCAGAAGAATTGTCGGCGCATTGGCTCTCCCCGGGGGATTTTACCAGCACGCGTCATACGCTTCACCTTGAAGGACACTTTGTCGGTTGTGTCTTTGCTTGAAAATATTGTTGTAGTTTCTGTGAAGCAGATATGCGCAGAAGTGTTGACACAGAGTTGAAGGCAGCCGGCACGACATAGGCCGAGCTGAAGAGGTTCGCCAGGAATCGCGTTTGTTAGAGAGGTGTTTGTTGAAGCCCTATGTTCTCCAATGAATCAAGAGAAATAATAATAATAATAATAATAATAACAAAAACAACATGCAACTTACAGTACCCTTTCAGGTTCGGCACGGCTTACCTTCGCTAGCCATTACACCAACCCGAGGTGCCCAAAATTTGATAGTATCGATTTTCAAGGCTTGGCTTAGATGTGGCTCATGATCGAAAGTATGGGCACCCAGTGAGAATCGAACTCACTATTCAGTCGTAACTGTTTTAGCGGGACCTGCTTGCTAACCATTACACCACGCCGAGGCTCCCAGACTTGAAACTAATACATACTAAACACTAGGCAGGCCCTTTGACTGGAATCCAATAGGGAAGCGAAATGTGGGTCGACCAAAACAGAAGTGAAGCAGAAGTGTTGACGTAGAGGTGAACGCAGCCGGTACGACATGGGCCGAGCTGAAGAGGATCGCTCGGAATCGCGTCCATTGGGGAGGTGTTGTTGTGACCCTATGTTCCCCAAGGAATCAAGTGGCATAAAAAACACTAAACCGCAAATAGCCACCAAAACCAAAATATTAAAATAAAAAATTGAATCATATTCCTACTAGGCTGTTACATATATACGTTCATTTTTTTCTGATATTCTGCTAATGATCTTGAAGAATTATCTTTCTTAGATTTTTTGTTTGCTTCTTAGTAACTCTGGTCAACAGTTGGGATAAGAGTGATGTTGAACAAACGATTTTTACAAAGTGTTCTAAGAAATAGCACTCAACGTAAACCTTTCAGTGGCTTATATGTGGCACATGGTCGAAAGTATGGAGCACCCAGTGAGGATCCAACTCACTATTCAGTCTTATCTGTATTAGCGAGACCAGCTTGCTAACCATTACACCAACCCGAGGCGCCCAAAATTTGATAGTATCGATTTTCAATTTGGCTTAGATGTGGCTCAATGATCGAAAGTATGGGCACCCAGTAAGAATCGAACTCACTATTCAGTCGTAACTGTTTTAGCGGGACCAGCTTGCTAACCATTACACCACGCCGAGGCTCCCAGACTTGAAACTAATACATACTAAACACTAGGCAGGCCCCTTTGACTGAATCCAATGGGGAAGCGAAATGGGTCGACCAAAACAGAAGTGAAGCAGAAGTGTTGACGTAGAGGTGAACGCAGCCGGTACGAGATGCGCCGAGCTGAAGAGGATCGCTCGAAATCGCGTCCATTGGGGAGGTGTTGTTGCGTCTCTATGCTCCCCAAGCAATCAAGAGAAATAATAATAATAATAATAATAATAATAATAACAGCAACATGCAATCTTACAGTACCCTTTCAGGTTTGACGTGGCTTACCTTCGCATATCGTGCTGGAAACGGTGTTTCAACGTGATACGGCCATAAGGCTGAATCTGAAATGCGGGAAGGTGTAATCTGTCTGACGGTGACGATATTTCTCATTGTTATTCGATAGTGTAAAAAAAAAGAGATGAAATTATTGTTCAGTGAAAGAAAAGGAAGCAATATATCAGTGATCGTACGGGAACCAATGTTATAGCGTGATGCGGCCATAAGCCATCAAAAGTTTCAATAAAGAAAGATATATTTGATACATACCAATAATGTTTTGAAAAATTTCAAATCCACTATCTAAAATAACGAATAACGTATTAATAAACTCTAAACACTTTAAATAGCATGTTGTCAGGATCAGTTTATTTAGTCAATTTAAATTGTGTTTTCTCCAAGCTAGGCTGTAAAGCCACTAACACGTAAGGGGTTACTGGGAGTGGAGAAATTAGAAAAAAAAACATTACAAAAGAGTTACAATGAAAAAGAGTAATGAGGAGGAAAGTAGTTAACGATTGACTATAAAAAAGAGAAACGGGTTAGATTAATAAAAGTCTCGGAGTTGGTTGTATGTGGTGCTGTAAGCATCAAGAGTTGCGTCCCCTTCCACAATTGGCTGCTGAGAGAAGACCTTCTATTTAGAGTAGGATGCGCTGACTATTTCCATATGAATGATACTTGGAAGATATTTGCATTTTTTTTAACATAATTATTGACTGGAAAGCATGGAGCCGGAGGAGAGCTCAACAAGCGAGAAGTGCGAGAAAAGAAACTGTCAGCATAGAACTTACGGTTACATTTAGCCAAGTCGACTATACACTGGTGTAACGTCACCGCAAATCTAGTACTGAGCTTATATTCCTAAAGTCTAGGAACCCTGTCGAAGAGTTCATCCAAACAGTCTCTATGAAATTATTTATAGAAAAGCCACAGAGACGAAACCTTACGGCGGTAGGAAAATGACTGAAGCCGAGATGCCAGATCAATACCAATAATATTACTGATTCTTCTTTAAATTTCATCAAGGATCTAGATATATAGTAGGAGCACTAGACCATACGTGGCAACAATTTTCTAAGCATGTACGAATGGTAGACTTATAGATATTTAAAAAGAATAAAAATGTATAGGAGATAAGGAAATTGAACATAGAATATGCGGCAAAAGTACCCTGCAACAACTGAGGTATGTTAGGGTACCCCAACATGATTACTTGTTAGGCTGATACCTTAGTCATTACAATTCAGTCAGTTATGTGCCATGCATGATACACGCTTAAGCGATCATGTATCTTTCCATACATGACTGACGATGCAGATTTTTTTTCTCGCAGTAGTTTGCCATTTCTTTCTGCAGTAGACCAGTTGCCATCCAAGGCTATAGAATCCGGTTTGTTCTGCTATTTACGCGTAGCTGGGTGGGGAGGAGAAGAAGAGGATTCATATCTTTCCCAAAGGTATTAGCACATAAGTGAATGTAATGGATTCGACTGAAAAGTCAGTCAGTCAGTTATATGCCATACGTGACAGACGCTTAGGCAATCATGTATCTTTCGATACACGACTGACAAGATTTTTCCCGCAGTAGGTTGCCATTTCTTTCTGCGGTAGACCAGTTGCCATCCAAGTCTATAGAACCCGGTTTGTTCTGCTATTTATCCAGAATACTGGAATTCGAACTCGGCTCTCCAATTCCTCAATCCGAGCCGCTATCCATTACTCCATGTACCTCCCCAATTACAACTGATCCCTTCAAATCGGAAATTTCGTATACCTCAACCTAGCAATCACTATTCTCCAAGAGTTGTTTTCAGATAAAATTAACTTCCACGTTTTGAAGAAACGGCCTCGGTCATCAAACGGAGTTTTCATTGCTTCGTAATGCGCGTCTCCAATTACTCCACTCTAACCGGTGATGAGAAAAACAGTTTTGTTGCGGGCATCGCCAGGTTACCTTGCCAGGAATAATAGCTTAATCACTTTTCTTGAGTTTCTTTTGTTCAAAGGAGAAGTGGTCGTGACGCAAACACGTTTGTGTGAAATTTGAAAAAAAAAATTGTCATTTAGATTCGGTCAACAGGAAGTCACTGGCTTCAATTGCACCCTGGGATATATCAGCGCGTGCAATCGAAGGTTATCTGCCCTCACAGTGCGTTTCAGTAAAATAGTGTCTAATCTACGACTGGGCATCTATAAGGTTTCTAAAACTGACCAAATATGAGCTTGTGTGGGTAATATTGTAGTACAAATTACAATATAATAGAAACTCGTTGGCGTTACTTCACAAAGAATAATTGCAAATAATAATAATAATCATATAATATGATGATTATGTCTCTCGCCACCTTAGTTCTTTAGTAAGTATGTTACACTGTGCCAATATGTCATCAATAATGGCGTATTTGGTAGTGATCGCAAGGAAAGACGGAAAAGATATATTAGAGATACCATTTGGTTTTAGCGAGAAAACGAAGGAAAGAAAGAAAGAAGGGAAGATCAAAAGAAAGAAGGGAAGGAAGAAATAAAGAAAGGGAAGAAATAAATAAAGAAAGAAAGAAAGAAAGAAGGGAAGAAAAAATGGAAAGGGAAAATAAAAAGTTAGAAAGAAAGAAAAAAGAAGGGAAGCAAAAGAAAGGAAGGGAAGATAAAAAGAAGGGAAGAAAAAAGAAAGAAAGAAAGAAAGAAAGAAAGAAGCGGAAATCAAAAGAAAGGAGGGAAGAAATAAATAAATAAAAATAAATAAATAAAGAAAGAAAGAAAGAAAGAAAGAAAGAAAGAAGGGAAGAAAAAATGGAAAGGGAAAATTAAAAGTTAGAAAGAAAGGAAAAAGAAGGGAAGCGAAGATAAAAAAGAAGGGAAGAAAAAAGAAAGAAAGAAAGAAAGAAAGAAAGAAAGAAAGAAAGAAGCGGAAATCAAAAGAAAGGAGGGAAGAAATAAATAAATAAAAATAAATAAATAAATAAAGAAAGAAAGAAAAAGAAAGAAAGAAAGAAAGATGGAAAAGGAAAATAGACAGAAAGAAAGAAGACAGAAAGAAAGAAGGAGAGAAAAAAGAAGCGAAGATAAGAATAAAGAAGGGAAGAAAAAAGAAAGAAAGAAAGAAGCGAAGATCAAAAGAAAGAAGAGAAGAAATAAATAAAGAAGGGAAGATAAAAAGAAAGAAAGAAAGATGGAAAAGAAAAATAGACAGAAAGAAAGAAGATAGAACGAAAAACGGGAAGATAAAAAGAAAGAAATTTGGGAAGATAGTAACGAAAAAGGAATGGAAAGGGAAAATAGACAGAAAGAATAGAAGATAGAAAGAAGGAAGAAAGAAGGGAAGATCAAAAGAAAGAAGGGAAGAGAAAGAAAGAAAGAAAGGGAGATAGAAAGATTGAAAGGGAAAATAGACAAAGAAGAAAGAAAATAGAAAGAAAGAAGGGAAGATAGAAAGAAATAATGAAGGGAAATATAGAAAGGAAGAAAGAAGGGAATGGAAAATAGAAAGTAAGAAGAGAAAATGGAAAGAAAGAAAGAAAGAAAGAAAGAAAGAAAGGGAAGGTAGAAAATATGATAAAATTTAGTCAACTTCATTGAGATGGAAAAAGTGGCCAATTTAAAATCTTTTCATATGTACCCACTTACATGTTTAAATAACCAGCCTTTATATTGGTTGTTGTAATATTTTTGTATGATGAATACTGCGATATTTTTCATAATGTTATAATACTGCAATGTTTTTATAATAATGTTTTGCTCAAACGTTTAACAATGCGTTTGTGTCGATTTCTACGGCTATTTCGTAATCTTCGGATTCGCCATAAGCTTCTTCAATCATTGAATTAAGAATTAAGATTCCTCAGAATATTCAAATAGGATATCTATTAAATTTTCACGTGCATTTCTGATAATAATAATAATAACAACAACAACAACAGAATGATCCTTAGGCTATTCGTAACGGCTGGCTTAATTCCTAACCACTGACTATCAGTTTTATCTCCTTCTTTTAAATACTAGCAGCATGGCCCAGCGTTGCCCGTGCTTGATTCAAAAATCGTACGACTCATACAGCAATCGCTATCACTTGACTTAAAATATTTTTGCCCTTTTTTTTTTTTTAAAGGAGTGTCCTTTGCCGTGCTGATGTTGTTACATGCTTTACTTCTTGCCTATCTCACACCTGCGAATTTTTCTAAGCTTTATACTAAACATTAAATCTGTTACGAAAAAAAGAACTAAAACAAAATGAACACAAAACGATCAGCTTTAAAAGGACTCGAACTGGAAAAACCGAAGGAAAAAGAATGTTAACAACAAATACTTTTTCACACCCAACCCAATTTTGCGGAATCAGAATCAACATTGAGTTTATGCAAGCGAATGAGCCAATTGGAGTAAAGTGCCATGCAGATTTAAATTTTTCCCACTTGTGACGAATGCAGCTATCGATTTTTTTTGCATGTTAGTTAACATTCGTGTCAGTCAGCTGTTGGATCTCACGCTGGCCAATGGAATCTTCCTGCATATTCGTAGCAGCCAGCTATAGGCTCCTCACTATCTGGCCAGTAGAAATGGCCACAAACCACATGAAAACTGCCGTAGAAGTAAATTGAAAAAATCGATTATTTCCATTATCCAGGGGAGTTTTAAAAATGTAATGTCGGTCTTGGCCTTCCTGCTAACTTGGAGCATGTGCATGTAAATTTTGGTGCAAATCCGTCGAAAATTGCGGCCGTGCATTCGTTACACACACACAGACATCCTGCCTTTATAGCTAGAGATAATTAGCATTTTATATATAGATTTTACATACAAATAAAACGTTTAGAGTTGTTTTCTAAGCGTAGCTTAGATGTGGCAAAAGGCCGAAAGTATGGGTCACCTAGTGAGGATCGAACTCACTTTTAGCGAGAATGATGAAAGAAAGAAAGAAAGAAAGAAAGAAAGAAAGAAAGAAGCTGAATGCAACATTCGGTTTTCTCCTTAGTTTCTTCCTTCAAGTTAACTGGCTTCTTTTATTTCTGTCCCATATTTCTTTAGTTTAATTTCCCCTTATTTCGCTTTAACTAAACAAGCTTGTTAACCATTACATCACGCCGAGGTTTCCAAAATAAAGTGTCTATAAACCGTGATCGTCCATGACTTGAAGGACCACGGTATATAAAAGAAGAAATTCATCAATTGATCTATATTATCTGTCTGTATTTCTGAGATAAGACATTATGTACATTATTTACATTATTCGGACTATTGTCATCATCTTTGTCGCCATATTTATTACAACGTTTCGGCCTTTCAGTATCTGTCTATATTTCTGAGATGAGGTATTATGTACATTATTTACATTATTCGGACTATTGTCATCATCTTTGTCGCCATATTTATTACAACGTCCCTGCCTTTCAGTATCTGTCTATATTTCTGAGATGAGGTATTATGTACACTATTTAAATTATTCGGACTATTGTCCTCATCTTTGTCGCCATATTTATTACAAAGTTTCAGCCATTTCAGTATCTGTCTATATTTCTGAGATGAGGTATTATGTACTTGCTCATGATTTTACATTATTCGGACTATTCTCCTCATCTTTGTCACCATATTTATTACAACGTTTCGGCCTTTAAGTATCTGTCTATATTTCTGAGATGAGGTATTATGTACACAATTTACATTATTCGACTATTGTCCTCATCTTTGTCGCCATATTTATTACAACGTTTCGGCCTTTCAGTATCTGTCTTATAGTATATTTCTGAGATGAAGTATTATGTAAATTACCATTTACATTATTCGGACTATTGTCCTCATCTTTGTCGCCATATTTATTACAACGTTTCGGACTTTCAGTATCTGGTCTATATTTTGAGATGAGGTATTATGTACACTATTTACATTATTCGGACTATTGTCCTCATCTTTGTCGCCATATTTATTCACCTAAACGTTTCGGCTGTTGTACGCCCTCCGGCCTTCTTCAGGTGGTTGGAATGTCGAACTGAACCCTTTATTTCGCTCACTGGGGTAGACTGTTCTAGTTTCACGTATCATCTTTAATGGATGTCAGTTATCAGTTATCTCATTTTCATTCCCCCCTGAAAGTTGTCCACTGCCTTAACCGGGTATTGAACTCACACTATTTGGGTCCTGTCACTGGATCTAACTAACGCCTTTATCCACTGTGCCATGTGTCCTTGATAACTGACATCCATTAAACATGGCACGTGGAACTAGAACTGTCTACCCCTGTTAGCGAAATAAAGTGTTCAGTTCGATATTCCAACCACCTGAAGAAGTCTTGAACGTAAAACGGCCGAAACGTTGTAATAAATATGGAGGCAAAGCTGAGGACAAAAGTCCGAATAATATAGTGTACATAATACCTCATCTCAGAAATATAGACAGATACTGAAAAGCCGAAACGTTGTAATAAATATGGCGACAAAGATGAGGACAATAGTCCGAATAATGTAAATTGTGTACATAATACCTCATATCAGAAATATAGACAGATACTGAAAAGCCGAAACGTTGTAATAAATATGGCGACAAAGATGAGGACAATAGTCCGAATAATGTAAATTGTGTACATAATACCTCATCTCAGAAATATAGACAGATACTGAAAGGCCGAAACGTTGTAATAAATATGGCGAAAAAGATGAGGACAATAGTCCGAATAATGTAAATAACGATCTATATTATAAAAGACAAACTATTTTTCAGTCCGTCTCATGCTGCGTTTGTCTTTCAGCATGGCTGATGCTATCCTCCAGGAGAGTGACTTGTCGCGTCTTCTCCAGTTAACAGTCTCGGATGACATTAAATTACCGAATCTTTTGCAAAGTCTGCTGCTAGGAAATTTTGTTCACGCACTTGTGCTAGGCATTTTTTCTCTCCAGAATCTATCTTACATATTTATAAACCTGTCATTCGTCTATGCTTTGTATATTGCTGCCACATATGGTCCGGTGCGCCAGTTATATATTTAGAGATTCTTGATAAAATCCAAAAGAAAAATCAACAATATTACTGGTGATGACCTGGCATCACGGCTTCAATCACATTCCCAAATTGTAATGTAACTTCCATATGCCATTGTTCGAATAAGCTCTTTGTCCGAAATTAGGTTATTTTAGGGTCGGTTTTCTCTTTAGTTCCTTCATTCAAGTTAACTTATCTAGGAGACGTATGCTCATTGGCTCGTTTCATTTCTGTCTCAAATTTCACTTTTCTCCGCCGTTAGGTGATTAGAGATGTCAGTTCTCTAGTGGAAGCGGGATACCTTTTGCTTATTCCTGTATGTGTTTTGTATTTATTGTTGTGTTTAAATGAGTGTGTGGTTGAGTGAATAAGTGTTGTATATTATTAAAGTCCCGCATTGATTTCGTCCAGTTAACTGATGTTTCTGCCACATTTAACGATTGGAGGGGGGTATTACTAACACTATTTTATTTAGTTTCTTGTAAATAGTTTTGTTTCATATTTGTAAATACACATTGGGAATTAGATTTTTAAATTGATCTTATATTCCCCCACCCCCCACACACACAGACAAGAATTGTACATATGCAGACTACTTAGGAGTTCATAGAGACCACGAGGTATTATGGTGAATGTTGTAAGTATTGTAAGATTGCTTTTTTTTGTGTGTGTAAGGAATATTGTGGCATGTTTTGCTCAGTGATTGTGGCTAACGTAGTTCAATATGAAGAGAGACGAAGATCATCCTTTTCCCCTATTCCTATCTTTGTCCTGTGCCAAATTTCTGGTACCTAGACTTTAGAATTTAGCCACAGTACAAGACTCACGAAATGCGCTCATCAATTCACTGTCGAATTGTTTGAATGTAACCGTAAATTCTATGCAAACAGTTTCTTTTCTCGCACTGCTTGCTTGTGAAACTTTCTTCTGGATTCATACTTTCCTGCAAACTTTGATCTTCAAAAATATAAATACAGTATCTGTCTATATCTCTGAGATGAGGTATTATTATCATTTACATTATTTATATTATTCGGACTGTTATCTTCATCTTCATTACCATATTTACAAATGTTTCATCCGTTCTACGCTCCGGCTTTCTTAAGGTGATTGGAATTTCGAACCGATCCTTTTTTTCGTCCAACGGGGGTAGATTGTTCTAGTTCCACGTACCATGCCTCTTTCGGATGTCTTAGTTATTTCTCTTTACCTAAACTTTCCACGTTATTTTATTTTTACTTTTTTTATATTTTTGGTTCACCAATACTGTGATCTGGTATTGAACACATAACAATTTGGGTCTAGTCACTGCTGAACAATGAAAGTCACATCGGCAAGATCAAAATGAGAGCATATGGACTTCGACTTGAACAAGAAATCACTGATCAGTGGGTAGTGCCTAAAATATTTGTTGTGACAGCTCAAGAGTCATATCAATGTTGAAATCTGCTGATCAATTCATTCAATCAGGTACTGCATGTAAAAGAGATCAGATCATGCAGTTTTTGCACAAACCATCCATTGAAATTTTGTTTCCTTTGATTAAAATTCAATTTAAATTTGAAGTACGGAATGTCTCCTAGCCAAAATATGGAAGGAGAAATCCAGAAGATGGAGGTCAAATCGGCAAGATCATTAAGTAATACAGAAATGCATCATTTTTCTCCACACATAACAATGATTTAAAATTAATCATCATTTTCTTGGCGCGGGTAATTCGGCTAGTGTTAATATAAATGTGGACACTGAGGTCAACACCGGCATGAGTCTGTTTCATGCTTGAACTCAATCTTCGAATAGATAGAAGATTGAATTCAAGAAAAGCAGAATCGCCTGTGTTTTGCCGATCGGTGTTGATCTCACAGTCCACTTTCATATATATATATATATATATATATATATATATATATATATATATATATGTATATTCAAGATAGGACACCTAACGTAAAACCTGTTTAACAGGTGTAATATTGGAGAAATCGTATGTCTCAGATACGGTGGACTGGTCATCTCCTGAGAATATCTGATGACAGGATACCCAAGATACTAATGTACAGCCAGTTAGATCAGGACTACAGGAATGTAGGACGCCCATGGCTAAGATACAAAGACAAATTGAAAAGCAGCATGTCAGCTGTGGATATACCACATAACACCCTTGAGCGCTTAGCCTTGGAGCTGGTAAAATAGAGATCAACGTGTTCCAGTGGACTCAGCAGTTTTCAATCTGCTTGTCTGAATCATCTTCAAGAAGCGAGAGCAAGATCTAAAAGGTCAACCAATCTAACTCTTGCTCCATATGCGGCCTCCTTCGTAAATCACTAACGGGTCTTAAGTACCATTATTAAGATTATCGCACAAAATTTCATAACTGAATCAATTAAGCTGTCAGATCCTCATACGTCGAAACCGAGGGGAGGTGGTACTCTAGTGAAAGGAATAGCAACACAGGCATAGATGTAAGAAAGAGAGGTTTATTGTAAAAGAGAATACATTACTGAAAGACAGGGAATCGGTTAGCTGGCTAGTATTACCGAAGCAAGGTTATTTACCTTATTCATTTCCCCACTACAAGTAAAAACAGGGTCGGTAGCTGTCTACCACGCCAGACGAGACTCTTCCTTCGGCATAGCCTCGTCTGGGTTCCTCTCTGCCCGGAGTCAGGGAGTTTGAGAAGCACACTGTGGAAGACCACAGTGACGCCACGCCAATTCCGATATATACATTTCGTTTACCATCACGTGATCTACTTATTCAAAATGGAATCGCCTGTGTTTGCTATCTAGTTATCTGTGTTCAAACTCCAGTCACAGTAGCGACACTTTATTCCTTAGTATAGCAGTCGTGCTAATAGTACTTGCTCGATAGTACTCGCTCGTAAAGTAACCACCAGTGATCCTTATAGTAATGATATTCACCTACCGCCCCACGCGGTCGGATGTGACACAAGGCCGAGTTTATTGTGGCGTATCCGAGCCCGTAGG